CAATTTAGATTAAAAGTCGCAATTCTCTTTTTCTGTTGTTGCAAATTTTTCGTTTTGTTATATTAAAAGTTATTTTGAATATGAATAAATTCCGCATTTCCAGGAAGAGTGGAATGTTAAAAAAGAGAGAGAGAGAAATGAAATAAGAAGTTTTAATATGATCGAAAATCCCATTAAGTGTCAAGTGTAGCCCTATGTTTGTCTGTGGCCGATCGGCCCTTTTTGCCGATGTGTTTCGAGGCACCTTGCGGCGATCAGACGCGAAATGTTTTACGGTTTGGTCCAGTGTTTTTGTCGTTGTATCATTTCGACGAAAGAAAGCAAAAGAGAGAGAGAGAGAGAGAGAGAGGGAGGGAGGGAGAGAAAAGTTGGTGGAGAGAAAGAAGCAGAGTTGGTCGAAAGGGACAGGCGGACTTGGAAGGCAGCACTATCGGCCACAAGCGGCCCCATTAAGCTCTTATTAATTGCAAGGATCTGAGAGACCGACCGCCTTTCTTGCGCTGCCTGGCACGCCATTCTGCCATTCGCTAAGAACCCTATCGTCTGCCATTCTCTCCCTCTTCCATTGCGGATGGGCCCTAATGCCCCTTGGATCAAGATCACTTTCCATCCTGTACGTACTTCAACCTCAATAAGTACCGACAACCCATCATGTCACCAGTTTTCTTCCTTCTTTTCTTCTTTTCTCTCTTCTTTTTTTTTTCTCTCTTTCTTTCTTTTTTTCCTTTTTCTCTCCTTATTCTTTTTCTTTTTTCTTCTTTTCTCTCTTTCTCTATTCTTTTCCTTTTTCTTCTTTTCTCTCTTTCTTTCTTCTTTTCCTTTTTTCTTCTTTTCTCTCTTTCTTTCTTCTTTTCCTTTTTCTTCTTTTCTTTTTTCTTCTTTTCTCTCTTTCTTTCTTCTTTTCTTTCTTCGAAAAAAACGAAGATAGAGAGAGAAAGGAAAAAAACGAAGATAGAGAGAGAAAGAAAAAGAAAAAAGAAGAGAGAGAGAGAGTCTCCGTCTTTTTTCGGTAATCACAATGCCAAATCGAAAGATAAACGTCACGATAGTTTGAATGCTTTGAATATTTCCCATGCCGAGCAACGATTTGCTTGTAAACTGATTATCGAAAAGAATCTCATATCTCGAAGCATTTGTGTTCATTTCGAAACGGTATTTTGAATACAAAGTATAGGATCAGTTTATGACTTGTGTTTAGAGTTAAAGCGACACTAGCGCTGCTGCGGGAAAATTCTTGCAACTCAGGTGAGAGATGAGGCATTGTAAATATGTCGGAATGCGAATTTAATAAAAACAAAAAAGTCTCAAGTTTTTTTGGTGTATTTATAAATGATATAGTATAAGAAATAAATAGTATAAATACTCGCAGTAAATATGAAATAATAATATTAATAAATAATAAATACTAGGAGTAAATAAAAAATAATACTAATAAATAATAGTACCAACTAATAATAAATATACTAATTTTAGATAAATCTTGTTCTGTTTCAGAATATAGTGATCCCTGTGACGTGATCAACAATCGGTGAGTTAGTTTTTTAGTTTTAGTTGAACCAAAGAAAATTTAATGTGAACCAAATAAAATTCAGTTGAACCAAGGAAAATTTAATGTGCACCTAATAAAATTGAATTTAAAATGTAAAAAGTAGGCCCTGAGTCGAACACATCTTTTTTTCTCGGTTGTAGAACACAAGATAAAACAAATAACAGAAAAATTCCTCAAAAATAAAGATGCGAAACATTAAGAACAGACAGATTGTAAATAAAATAAAAATAGAGAAATAAATATAAACAGAAGCATAAGTAAAAAAAATTCGATAAAAGACATTTATGCATTTTTAAAAAGAGATAAATAATAAATTAAGATAACTATTCTTCTCTCCGATTATAATAATAATACATATATACATTACACAATAATAGAATAATTAAAATTTTGAAAAGCAACCTTATCAAACAATTTATGCATTTTTTCTGTCTAATTGATATAATGAATAATTCACATTGCGATATGAAAGTCATAATTTTTCAACTCATTTTATATATGTTTTATAATATATATTATGCGAAATGTTTTTTTTCCCAAAGAAAAATCGGAAATGCACTTTATTAAAATGTAATAATTTACACAAGGATTATAATAAACTTGTAAAAATGGTTTATAAAAGTAAACTTTTGCACGTTTCAATTTCCATTGGATGGTATAACATCAAAGCAACCCGAGCGTCGGAAACTTGGCACCATTAGACGTGCTCTGATGCGCTTAAATGAATCATGAAATAAACATAGACCCATTCTCAAATAATTACACTTGTTACAATAACAACAAAAAACACGACAATCCTTCACCGTGAAATTCTTTTTACAATGAAATATGCAAATGAAAAATGCACTATAAATATATACACTTCATCATTTTCTAGCTTCCTTGTGTCAATTATTACTCACCTTGCATTTCAAATACAATTTTCATTAACAAAGGTTTATATTTTTTTTATTAAAGAAACTTGAGAAACTTTTCTTTAACTCTCGACGATTTGAATATTTTCATTTTGTAATTAACTTTTTTTTTTTTGTAGAATTTAGAAAAAGCATTTGGAAATTTTTAATAATGATAATAATATTTTTTTTAATAATTTAATTAATTTAGTAAATTAGTAAATAAACGTTTATCTTTATTTATTATAATAAATAAACAAACGTTTGGATAGCGTCTATTTTTTGAATTCATTCGCGAAATTATTTTTTGCATGATAAATAATTTTTTATTATGAATAACATTTTGAAATTCGTATAGTGTTTAGGGTTGGATTCCTCCCAGGGGTTGAAAAATTTTTCTCCTTCAATTTAATGTAATAATAATTCAATTTAATGTAGCTATAGTTTGTTACAAAAGTTTAGTATAATTTTACCAAAAAATTCTGGTTAAAAATTAAAATTTACCAGAAAAGTAGAATATTTTTTCATTTTCAAAATAAAAGTATAAAATTCATTAGTTACTTGAATATTATTAATATTTAATTATTACTCGTTTGATACTAAATTTTAGAAAAATTGTTTCAATTTCCTATTTTTCTTTTTGTTATTATATTTAATTTCAATTTTTTATTTTTCTTTCAAATTTTAAATTATTTTTTAAAAAAATTTATTGACTCGAGACTTTAGTATTTAATGTTAATCAAGGAATTATGGAAAAAGGTAGGAGAGGGGCCAACACCGCCCCAAAAAAAGGCAAAAATCAAATGAAACTTCATCTGTAGTAAATGGTATCTTTATTTTATAAATAATATATCATTACAATCATTTTACAGGTTTTTTTTGTTTGTCAATCTGGGGTGGTGTTGGCACAAACCCCATTTTTTTCTAATAAATTTATTTCAAGATCTGAACGTGAGAACGAAAGAAAAAATTTTTTTCCTCACATTTTGTTCAAATGAGATTTTAAGAGAAATAAATAAAAATAAATAGAAAATATACAGAATATATAGAAAGAAAGTAATGTTTTGAAAATAAATTCTTTAAATAAAGCAGAAAAAAAGTGCTCTGAAAAAAATATTATTCAAATATTGTCGAAATTATCTGAAATGAAAAATTATTAAAAAATTTTAGTAATACTTGAAGAAAGAGAAAAAAACAGAAAATTGTTTCAATTGACAGAAATTTTTCTCTCAACTTTCCTCTCTCTTTTTTTCTGAATTCTTTTCTAAATTTTTCTCTCTCAGCTTGAATGGAAATAAATAGTAAAAAATATAATAAAAAATATATTTTCTACTAGTAAACATTTTTTGTCAACAGATACTTTTTTCTAATATTCTCTAAAGAAAAATAAAACTATCAAATTATTAACCAATTATTTATCTTATAAATTCGAATTATATTCAAAAACTTTATAAGAAAATTTAAAAAAATTGTTTTTTTCGATCTCTGTTCACATTTACAAAAATATCTTGAAATTAATTATCGCAGAGTATTTTTATATATATAACAAATTACTTTCTCGAATTTGAATAAATATTTCACTGTATCAAGTAACAAATGAATAAACGAAATGTATAGATAATTAATCTTAATAAATAATTCAAATTTAACTAGAATTTTTCACTTGTATCGTCTATGTATAGATTTGCCTCTTTTTTCTATAATTAAAAACAATATACATATATATTTATCGCCGCAATCGTGACGTATTTTTTAATTTTAATATACACAAGTTTTTTTCCAATTATTTTCTGACTAGTAAACTTGATCGATTATTATATTACATTTCAATTAATTAACTATTTCTTTAAAGTTTAAATATATTTAAGACTGTAATATTTATAATATTACAAATAAATATCTATAAATACATAATATATTTATTAAAAATATTTTTTATTTTCCCTTCGAATTTATAATATTTATATTTTCTATAATATACTAAAGAAAAAACAAGTCTTCTTGTATGTACAATTTAATACTAGTTTTTAAGGTTTAAAAACAATTGTTCATAAATAATATCAACAATAAAAAAATCAAATCTCCCTAGAAAGGTATATTCCTAAGAAGCAAACGAATTAATGTTTCTAAAGTTTACACTATTCAAAAGAATGGCGAAATTTTTTTCTTTTAATTCTTTTATAAATTTTTTTATAAATTGTTTTTTTATAAAATTATTTTTTTAAAAGTATTTTTTTACAAAAAAAAATGTACCGAATTGAATTAATAATTCCACTAATTTAAATTTAGAAACTGCTTTAAAAAAAAAATTTCTTTTTTTTCCGTAATCGAAAATAAAAAGTTCGAATATAATGATTCTATCAATTAAATGAGGGGGGAAAAGAGAGGGAGAAGAAAAATGTTATTCTGAAATAGTGTCACGTCACGATTGTGTGCGCGGATAAAAGCGAATGACGATAAATATATATATATAAATGTAGAGAAGAAGAAAGAGGACGCGAATTGAATGAAGAATAAGATTTGAGAGTTGAGGCCAATAGTTCAGGTCCAATACTCACCAGATAAGGGTGCATATGGACCGTGGGGATAAGGAGGCGCCGAAGAAGCGTCGACAAGAGATTGCGACGGCGTCGCCGACGTCCAGTCCTTGTAGGATGCTGTGGCATGCGCGTGATGCGCCGCATGGTGGGTTGTATGGTGTCCAAGTCCTCTAGCACCACCCAATAATAAACCGCCGTAACTCGCTGCCGCCGCCATATTATGGTGGTGGTATTCGTGAACGGCTCTGAAAAAAAGAGCAGAGAAAAAAAAGTTTATTTCCTTCCTTTTCTTTTTTTTTCAAAATTGTTTTCTTATTTTATAGGTATTTTTTTTTCGTTTAAAAAATTGGTTCAGTAGTTGATCTCTTATTGCTTAAATAAATTACCCTTGTGAAAAGAATTTCCTTTCGGACAACTTTCGGACAACTTCCAGAATAGTGGTTTCCGACTTTTTTTTACTGAACAAGTTTTTGAAAAATTACTAAACTATTCCTAAAGTTAAATTAAGTTTATAGTTTGCGGATATTTTTTGGGAAAATTGCAGAATTTTTGAGGGTTAAATCTGCAATTGAATTTAAATTAAATTTATAAAAATTTAATTGGTAGAAATTTTAAAAAAGTATCAGTTAAAGGTCGTTTTGCACCTAAGGTTCAGTATTAGGTTCAAAATTCAATTGGTTCAAATTCTTCCATCATCAATTATTTAAAATTTACTTAGCTTGAAGTGTAGTTTTAAAAATTTTTTTTTACAACTAAAAATAAATACGAACCTATGATGGTATTGGGGATAATGCGGATGCCATGGATCCGTCGGGTACTCGTAAACATCTCCAGTGTGATGACTTTTCCAAAAGGACGGTGGAAAATTTCTCATGTTCATTGGAGAAATATTTTCTGAAAAATAAAAATTCGACTCTTTTACTTTCATATACAAATAAAAGGGGAATTTTTTCAATTAAATAGATTGGACAATAACAGGCTTCGTACTCGATAATTAATTTTAAAAAAGTAGCAAAAAATTGCTTAAAGGCAGAGAAAAAGTATAGTAAAAAAGTAGCTATCGAAAAATTAAAATTGACAACTCAATTTTTTTTCTAATTTCTTAATTATATTCAAAAAGAGAATAATTTTTCAAAAATAAATATTTAAATACCTATTTATTTTGTCTACTGGAATTAAAATATTTCAAATAATTTCAATGTATAGCATTTTTGAAATTTAACTATATTTCTAAAAATTACAAAAGTAATTTCAAAATTTAATCATTTTCTTGTTGAAATTTATGATTATAAAAATATTCAAAACTTTATTTGAATATTTGAATATAATCATTTTATTTTATTCAATTCTAAATTAATTCTAATTAGAAAGTTCTACGAGAATTCAATTATTTAAATACAAAAACAAATAATTTTTTGAATGATTAAATATTTCTTAAATTTGAATTCTTATAAAGAACATTACCAACATTTTTGAAAATAATTGAATTTTTACGAAGAATTGCATTAAAATTTCTGATAATAATTAAATTTATTCAAGAAATGTAATTAAAAATAAATTGAAAATAATTATTACACTCAAAGGAACAAATTATATCTTTTCTTTAAATAATTAAATTTTTTCGAAAAATTTTATTCAAATTTTTATGAATGTTTGCATTTTTTGCGGAATTTATTTAAAATTATTGTATTAAAAATTAATTGAAATCATGCGATGAGTTTTAATATTTATAAAAATAAATGAATTCTTGCAATGATTATTATTAAAATTTAAAAAAATAATTGAATTCCAAAGAAGAATTTTATTATTTATAAAAATAATTAAAATCCTGTAAAGAATTTTATTATTTATGAAAATAATTGAATTTCTGCAATAAATTTTATTTCATTTTTTTAAATAATTGAAATTCTGTGAATAATTTTATTAAAATAATAGATTTTGAAAATATTTGAATTTCAGCGAAGAATTTCATTATATTTGTAAAATGTAATTGAATTTGTTAAAAATTTTTTGAAATAATTACATTTTTCAAGTAATAATTGAATTTTTGCAAAGATTACTATTAAAATTTTTTAAAATAATTGAATTCATAAGAAGAAATTTTATTATTTATAAAATAAATTGAATTCTTGCAATGAATTTTATTAGATTTCTTTAAACAATTGAAATCGTTTGAAAAATTTTATTATTTATGAAAATAATTTAATTCTTACAACAAATTTTATTACATTTATTTAAATAATTGAATTTATTATTCTGTGAATAATTTTATTAAAATAGTAAATTTTGAAAATGTTTTAATTTCAGCGATGAATTTCATTATAATTGTGAAATGTAATTGAATTATTGCAAAAAATTTTTGAAAATAATTACATTTTTCGAGGAATTTATTTAGAATTCTATTAAAAATAATTGAAATCCTGCTTTGAGTTTTAATAATTATAAAAACAATTGAATTCTTGCAACGATTATTATTAAAATTTTAAAAAATAATTGAATTTCTGAGAAGAATTTTATTAATTATAAAAAAAATTGAATTCTTGGGGAGAATTTTCTAAAAATCTATTTAAATAATTGATTTTTTTTCGAAAAATATTAGGAAAATTCTGTTTTTAAATAATTGAATTCCTGTGAAAATTTTTTTAGTGTATGAGAATAATTGAATGTTTGCAAAGAATTTTATAAACATTATTTTTTTAATTATTCAATTCTTTTGGGAAATTTTTTATTAAAATTGTAGATATTAAAAATTTTAAAGAATTTTATTAAAATTTTAAAAATCTTTTCCAATAACATTATTAAAATTTTTTAAAATAATTTTTTTATTTCAACTGTAAATAGAAATAAATAATCTCACAGTTTTTCTGCAGATATCAAATTGAGACAAAAAAAAGAATAAAAAGTGTTGCCTCGCAACACTTTTTATTCTTTTTTTTGTCTCAATTTGATATCTGCAGAAAAACTGGGCCGTAATTACGAATAAAAAATGTAATTTCAATTTCTCTCCGAGACGCAAAAGTTATTTACATCTCGATGCGTATATTTATACTATTTTAGCTCGGGGACAATGATTTTAACGCTAGATTGATTTATCGTGAGAGGGAGAGCTCTGAAAAATGCGGATTTCGATTTTAAAAACCCCCTGATGAAAATAGTCGAACAAGGCGATCCCACGGAAACGCGCTCACTGGAGAGACAGAAGGGTACCGCGTAGATGTTTTACAAGGGACCACTCTGAAGCCAGAAGCTTGTCTTGCGTATCCCATGTCATTGCTTTCGAGATTCCTCCTCTTTCTTCTTTCATTCTTTTTCTCTCCCCTCTGTATTTTTTTCATTTTTCTTCCTTTTCTCTACCAATCTACTCGAAATCGTATAAGCGTAATTTCCAAAGTTCATTTAACATCCTCTTGACTTCAACGCGCAATGCACTCGCGCGGCTAAAAATGCTATTTCTTCTCCTTGCAAGCCTTTACCAGCATCTTATCTCGAGAGTATATTTCGAGTAATTCACCTTTCTTAAAGAAAACAAAGATCTATTTTTTGTTTTTTTCCTTTTACATACTTTTTGTATTTTTGAAATTATTATAAAACCTTCTAAAACAATTTTTTTCAAAATTTACTTATTTATTTATTTTATCTATTTATTTAAGTTCAAATTTGCCTGAAACTTGTTCAAGTTTGCCACAAGTCAAGAAATTCAGGGAAAAGTCAGTGATTTTTATTAAAAGTATACTGAAAAAAATTAAAAGTTTAAATTTCATAAGAAAATTCCATTACTTAAACAAAAATTTTAATAAAATTCTGCACATGCATTTAATTATTTTCACAAATATTAAAAATTGCCTAGAAATTCAATTATTTACCGCAATTTTTTTAATTCTACTATTTTTGTAAATAATAAAAAATTTTACAGGGATCCAATTATTTTCATAAATTATAAAATTATATTTAGGAATTCAATGATTTTTAAAAGTAGTAAAATTCATCGCAGAAATTTAATTATTTTCAAAATTTAAAAAAAAATCTGGTCAAAACTTTAATTATTTTTAAAAATAATAAAATTCTTCTCCGAAATTATATCGTACAATTTCCAACCTTTTGTCTTTTCTTAATTAAATTACGGACCGGATTTCATAAAAATCAATTTTACGAAAATTGGTTGAAATTGGTTTACCTAACTATGGTAAAAACTTGACCCTGGGCTAAAAATGAAGTCACTAAAAAGAAGCAAACGGAATAAATAAATTAGCGAATGATTAAGAAAAGCAGAAGGGAATCACAGAGGCAATTAGCGCGCTCAGCCTCTCTCGGAGGGAGTAGAGAAAGAACGAAAAAAATTAATCTCAAGAAAAGGTATCAGATAAAAAAAATGTCGAATGTGAAAAAGAGAATTAAACTCTCGACTCTCGAGAGGGAAGATTGAATATGGCAACATAAAAGAAGAAGAAGAAGAAGAAGAAGGGGATAATCGAAACGGATGAAGGCAGATGTGTTATCTGGCATCTCGTGAGCAAATCGCAATATTTAACGCGATAGTTAGTCCTCGTGTGTCTTTTTGAAGGAGAGAATGAGTTGGTCTCGTGCAACCAATTCCCTTTTGGCCGCAGTTGCGGTGGACATGGCCGAGGAACATATTTTAGAATCCCCTTTATGCCGCATGCGGCATGGCATTCCATCCGTGGGAAACAATGCGGACTGGCTTCTTTATACGGCAAATGTGTCGTGGGTGGGTGTTACGGGGCGCTTCGATACGCGTTCAAATTACAATATCGGAGGCCCTGCGACAACCGCCAACAACCAACATCTCCGAACGGGGACTACTTCTGGTCCCCAAATGAATTTCCTCGTCCCGCCGTTACTTTGTATCTTCATTGCGCGACACCTCGAGCCACGTCCCACTCGCAACGACTTTTTCTACTTCCCCGCCACAAAATTCTAATAGTCAGTTGCATTTTTTCACTATTATATTTTATTCTTCTCACGATTATTCCCCACTCGACAATTCAGACTAAAAATTTTCCCTAAGTTTAAAAATATAAAAAATTGGGATTGTTTTATACAATCCTAATTTTTTATTTTTAAACTTAACCCTTTCGTACCCCCTGGGAAAGTCAGCGAGTCGAAAATCATCGACTTGGGTTCGATTATTACGAATCTGAAGACAGATTTTCGAAATTCAAAATGGCGGATCCAATATGGCGGATATTTTTAATCAAAATTGATCAAATTCTCAAGAATTCAATTATTTTCATAAATAAGAAAATTCTTCGCATTATAATATTTTCATAAATAATAAAAATCTACAAAGAAATTCAATTATTTTCATAAATAATAAATTGTTTCGGAGAAATTCAATTATTTTCAAATATTCAATACAATTTTAATAAATTTTCTGGGAAAAAATTCAATTATATTCAAGATAATTTTAATAAAATTTCTCTAACGGATTCAATTATTTTTTTTTCAAAAATTGTAATAAAATTGTTCTAAACAATTCAATTGCTCTCAAAAGTTTTTAATAAAATTCTTTGTAAACTCTGAGAAAATTGTTTGAAAGAATTTTATTTTCGATAAATAATTTTAATATAATTCAATAGAGATAATGTTAATTACAATTAATAATAAACAAGATTATTTTAAGAACTTAAAAGAAATTCTTCTTTAAATTTTATTGTTTTCAAAATTTTCAGTAAAAATTATATAAAAAAAACTTCATTATTTTAAAATAATTTTAATAAAAATCTTCCCAAAAATTAAATTATTTTAAATACAATTTTAATTACATTTTCTCGAAAGAATTCAATTATTTGAAAAAATGTTGATAAAATTCTATTGAAATAAATTCAATTATATTCAAATTTTTTTTATTTAGACTTTACAAAAATTCAATGATT